CTTAACGAGTGTATGAACTGCACTTAACGAGTAAAACGTCATATTTTTTTTACAAATTACTCCGCTTTTTATTCATAAGACACAAACAAGACGAATTTTAATTTAAATTCATGTCTTATAAACAGGACCACTGAGTCAGTAGTATAACTTGTGTCAAAGTATGTAAACACAAATTATAAGATATCAAGTTGTTATAGTTTGTTACTCTATTTATCCCATAATTATTGTCCAGTTTGAGTTTTAATATTTAGTTCAAATTATACTAAAAGTGGAATATCAAACTGGATAATAATTTTAGAACGGCTAGAGTATTAATTAAATGTGTGTAAAATAAAACAGACATCACATTCTCAAAGTTTGTTTGACAACAAAATAAATGCAGAAGAATATAAAGAAACAGGACCCCTTCATTTAATGCCTCATGTTTCCACCCATCTGTTTTCCTTCTCGTTTCTTTATTTTTTTTAGGTTTTTTCCTTTCCTTTTTCTTTTTCTCCTATGCATTATGCATATTTATACTTCAAACACAAGTAATCTCAACGCGCAAAAACCACACCTCTTTGTTGTTGTTTTTTTCTCTTGAAATAACAAAGAAAATCAAACTTCATTTACTACTAGAGCTAACACCATTTCCCCCCACAAAATATTTCCTCCCTTTAGCCTAACCTAAGGGTCCCCCATCCCCCCCACCCCCAAATCTTCTATAGGAAAAAAGATATACCAACACCCAAACTCACATTTATTACTAACAATATTAAAAAGCAAGTGTATTCTCAAACTCACAAACTACAAATACTCTTCTTCTTCTTCTTCTTCCATTCAATCTCGTACCTTTTTCACCTATGATCATCTAATTTGAGTTGTTTAGGCACCCTTTATGATGGTTTTTAGAATACTTTATCAACCCTTTGTTTTGGTGATCATCATTGTTTTCATGGTATTATCTGTTCATGATCATCATCATGGTGTTCGTGGTGGAAGACATTCACAGTTCTTCAAGGTGAATCCTTCTTCTTCAGTTTTGCAAAATCAGAAGAACAAGCCATTGTTTTCATATTTACCGAAAGGGATGCCAATTCCTCCATCCGCTCCTTCAAAGCGGCAAAACGACTTCGGTTTCTACGACGAATCATCGTCGTCAGAAGATGCGCTGCCACCCTCCTAAAGGTTCATTAATCCTCCTCAGTCCAAAAGGTCTATAATTTATCAGCAAAAAGAGATGGTATTATCACAATTTTTCAAGGGCACATTATTAGTTGTCAAATTTTAGTAAGTAAAAAAAGGATAATTGTGGCCTTTTTTTCAAGTTCGTTTTTTTCTTCTTTTTTGTGTAGAGGAAAATATACTACATACTCATCATCTATATATGCTCCTACATGTATACTTCAGAGATATATATTTATATCCTGAATTGAGAATTGTAAGGACCCCCATTAATTATTTGTGCTATGGGTGTCTTACTTCTTCAAAATGAAAATTACAAGTTGAATGTTCAATTATTATTGTTAAGTATTATCTTCCGAAATTTATTTCTCATTGCATCCCATCTACATTTTGACTTCTTCGTTACTCGAAAGTTAAGAATTGATGAATGCTAGAGTGAATTTCGTCAATAAATGATTTTTTTTTATGAAATGATTACAAAATTATTCGGTTTTGGGAAGTTTTTTTTCTCCTTTAGGTGGCTACCACAAAGAATTAAGGAAGAATATCAGATTTTTTTTTTTTATTTTATTTTCTTTCTTTGGGAAGAATTTGGACAATTTTGGCTTTGACTTGATGACCCTGAAAGACTGAAACAAGGAAAAATTAATGACTGAAGTTTTATAAGTGACTCGCTAATAATCTTGTTTCCGAACGTTTTTAAGTTTGTCAAGCAATACCATTTGTTTTAATGAGACTGGAAAGAACATTGGCATTCTGGAGAATAGGGTCAATGAAGATCATTTGATTTGAGTTCATAAACGTCCAAAACAAAACTCAGTTCTCTAAAAATGTAAAAGACAAGTTGAGAGTACGAAAACGACATGCACGATCATTTTCATAGGGGTGATAGATCGAATTTGAAAATGGTGAAATTTTCTGAAGAAGAAAAGTCAAAGTCAGATCATGAATAATAATGTTAGTTAAACAGTCTTAAACATAAAAAGAATGATAAAAATGCAAGAAAAATGAAACCATTCCAATGTCCATGCCTTAAAACATTTGAGGGGAAAATAAATCTTCTACTATGTTACTGTCTCTATCCCAAAAATATAGTTCACATTGAATTTTGACTTTTATACTAAAAATATGATAACTCTGAAAACTCAATGTAAATTATTTTTCTTAACCAGAGGAAATATTAATTAAGTTCGTTACAAAAATATGCCGTCAACACTTGTTGGGATATCAAGTATAACAAGGAATTCATCATCACTTAAACAAGTTCATTTAGATTGTGCGTGGAAAAAGAAACGAAAGAAACTACTATATGTGATGTGCCTTAAAAATAAATATTTGCATAGATATGACCTTTTATTTTCTTTTGGCTTGCAATAAAACTAAGGTTCTGCTCGAGCAAAACGTAGTTCTATGTATCCACCCTCCAAATGCAATATCTTTGGTACCTAATTAAGATGGCGGATACGTTAGTTGGTCTGTGATGTTTGGACGTAAAATTGAGTCTTTGTAAATGGATAGTGCTAAATGTTCTACTCCTTCCGTCCCACAAAAATAGTCCACATTGAGGTTTGAGTTTTGTACTGTAAAAACAGTACAAAACTCAAACCTCAATGTGGATTATTTTTGTTCAGTACAAAACTCAAAATTCAATATGAACTATTTTTATGGGACGGAGGGAGTATTTTATAACTGTAGAGATGATTTTATATTTTAACTAATTATCAGAAAAATATTAAATTTTCGTCTAGGAATCTTAATTGCGATATAGATAGAAGGAATTGGTACCGAAAACTTTAATGTTCAAAATTCGAAATGGTGAATTGATAGGCATTCTATGGGAGAATGAGCCTTTTCATCCCAAGGTTTGAGCCACACCATTTAAAACATCTCAAAGTTTAAAAGCATGCCATTTTCATTCCAAACTTTTCAAAAATATGTAATATTAGGACATTTGTTAATTTTTTCAAGTTATTAACGGCGATATTTCATTTAGTTTCTTTTTCCCATTTTTTTTAGTCAAAAAAATTTCATGCTTGCGTTTGCTAAATTCGGTCCATGCCAAGCAAAGAAGTTGCATGCCCCTGTAATAATGACAACACCAATTTTTATAATGATGCTACATATTTAAAAAAAATACAATGAAATAGGGCTTACTTTCTAATTAGGACATACACAAAACCTCTCATGATTTTTATCAATCTAGAAAGAGAATCTTAGATTTTTTTTTCTAAGCAAAGGAAGAATGGATGATGTGAAGACCAAATTAGGTTTAGCTATTTTCTTATAAAGTGGGAGTTAGTGAAACGTGTTAAATTATTAAAAGAATTGGGGGAGGAGAAACAGAATAAAGTACCACTACTAATTAATTAACTGGAGTTAAAAATTTAACGAATATCCTAATGTAACATGTTTTTAAAAAGTTTGAGATGTAAATAACATGTTCTTAAACTTTGGGATATTTTGGATGGTGTGGCCCAAACTTTGAAATGAAAAGACCCATTCTCCCGGTATTTTATTTACTCATATAAAAATCCATGCACTATTAATTTTTTTTTTTTTTTTGTTTAGTACAATGAGCATCATTAAGTTTGAGAAAAATTAAAAACATCAATATCATTAGCGTCATAAAGTACTGTGCAGTGGCTGATTTCCTCCATATGTATGCCGCCCAAAGTCAAGCGAAGAAACTGAAATCACATAGCCAAAAAGTCTTATCATTTGTGTAATTTTGTTAACGATCACATCAGAATGTGATCAGGCGGTGGATAAAGAAAGGGAAAGAACAAATATGAGGAAAAGAAAAAGGGAAAAATTTGCTCTGCACATTTTGATCTAAGAGAATGTTGATTAATTATCACCGGCGATTCTAGTTTTTTATATTTTTTTTTATGATATGTACTCAGTCTGTCTTAAAATAATTGTTATCGTACATAAAATTAAAATAGTCATATTTAGATAGGAAACAGTATTTTAGTGTGTAAAAATTGAATTTGGCTCAGAGAATGTTGATTAATTATCAGTGGCGATTCTAGATTTTTATTTTTTTTAACAATATGTATTCAATCTGACTCAAAATAATTGTCATGTTTATCGTACATAAAAACCGAACAGTCATATTGAGATGGGAAACAGTATTTTAGTGTGCAAAAATTGAATTTGGACTTTGTAATGTTTTAGGGTTTCTCTGAAATCACCCAAACATGGGTTCCGTTTAGTAATGTGATCACATTTTGAAGAGTTTTTCAGAAGATAACCACATTTGCTAACTAAAAAAAAAAAAAAAAAAAAAAAAACCACATTTGCTAACTCTCCATATGTATTTCTCATGTAGCCAAAGAGTTAAATTATGCGTTTTCTTTCTTATTATACGACAAAATCATTTAATCAGTATCTAGCTCCGAATTTACTTATCTTTTTTTCATAAGCATTTATCAATCACAGGGTTTTTTCTTAGAATACGTTACTGCGTATTAAACTTTAATTCTGATATTGAAAGAAAATTTCTTCTATCATTTTTCTTTCATTTTCTTTTTAGAAAAAAGATCCAAAAAAAAAAAAACCATTATCTGAGATAGCGTATATGAAAACCGAATACCAAATTTTTTTTTCCCCCATGTCGCTGCCCAACTTTTAATTTCTACAACTTGATCATCATTAGCCTTAATGACATAGTAGCTAAATTCCTGGTTAATGAAGGCTCCATTTACGGGGCTTGTTCAGCTATCCTTCTACATTATTATGTGGGCATTTTCGCTTTCCGAAATGAACTCATTTTTGGAAGGAAGAACAAAGAGCTCAATGGTTCCTGTTAGAGGAAACAGAAAAAGGAAAGGAAAAAAAGATAAAACACTTCTGAAGTTGAATTAGAATTTGTCAGTTAGTTGAATGGAATAGAGTTTTGACAAATTAATATGCTCATATTTCTCACTTTACATTTCTCAACATTCTACAGCAAAAGCAAGCTACATGCACTACCATGCCACTAAGCTAAAGAAAGATTGCAAGAGAAACCCAAAATGGACATGAAATTCCTCTGCACAGAGATCAAATTGAACTTTCTATATACAACTATTAGAGTCCAAAGGGTGAGTGTACAAGCTGAAAATTTAAAATCCCCTAGATATAAAGATTTTGGGAGAAAAAATAAATAATATAAAGAGACCAATTGATCCGACGGGGGATGCTTAACCTTGCAACCACCATCACAACTACAAAAAGGAAGAAAAGATGGAGAATCCTTAATTAAACGTCTACATTTGGGAAGATGGTGAAACATTCCCCTCGGACCTTCGGGCAGCTGGGCCGGATACCGATGATGACTTGTCCGATCCACGAACATTGTACCTCTCATAAACTTTTTCACGATTCTCCGACCACCAGGTCTCTGCTTGATGTTCTCCAAATCTCCTCCGGCTGAAAATATCATTTAGAATGTAAGATTTATATAATCAAATTTAAGATACATATCCTTTATACTGGACTTTATAATCCAAGACAAGCTTTCCAAAAATTAAGATTACTGGTGCAAAATTCAACTTCAGGTATACACCTAGTTTGCATGTAGAGACACTCAAGTCAACTTATGGAAATTTGATGATTTAACCATTGCACACTAGTGACATCCTTATGCATGCAATATTTGTATTAGATGTTATACTATCAAAAATATCATGGCCAAGTACCTGAAGCGAACACGTTTGAGATCTCTGGTCCCATCTCGTAGAGCTACTAGAGTAATGTATACACCAGGCTCATATTGTTCAATCCATTCTGCCTCTACTTGATTAACATTACCAGGAACTACGGAGTTCCTAGACTTTAACCCATTATCAGCTCCATGCAAAGGCCCACCATTGCCATCAACACCAACACCTTCAGAAGCTCCACTACTGCGTGCTTGCACATCTCCATTACCATTAAGAACTCTTACATCAGACCGGTCATCTCTCCCATGCAAATTCAAATTTCCCTTAACTTGACTGCTTTGGTTCACTTCACTGTTTCCGAAAGAATCCCTTGGAAATTCATTGGTGGCATGCATGCCCTCAACAATGGCAGGTTCACCACCCATTTGAGAGGCATGATAAGAGCTACTGAGCGAATCAGATCTAGAATGATGATCGCCATTAGAATTGCTATGCAAATTGCCATTTTGGTCCACACCGTTTGGCAGGGAAGGGAGTTTAATGCTGTCAGTGTCATAGGAACCTGGTGGCAACCGCTCAGCCATGTCTTTCAACTGGACAAAGAATTTTGGGGACAGTTAGTAAAGCATAATAGACTCATAGCAGTTGGTACAAATCATACAAGTAAAAAATATAGATATACGCATTACCTGAGCAGTAAGCGACTTAATCACTTCTTTTGCAGCTTTACATTTAGCAGCTTCTTCGGCAGCAAGTGCCATTGCCTCTTGAGTTTTCTTAGTCGATTTTTGAAGCTCAACATCTTTGAGTTCACATTGATGCCTCAGAGTCTCAACCTGAATGAATTTGATAAAAATGGGGTAACACAAGGAATACTCTGGATACCATTGCATTCGCAAAACACGCACTAGAAATAGATAGTACCTGAGCCCGCAGCTTATGAACTTCTTGACTCAAAAGTTCATTAGTTTTCTTCAAACTATCAGCTATGCTCTTGGAGAAAGAAAGGCCTGATGTAGTTGGAACTGGGGTTGCTGATCGTGGAGGGCTCGGTTTTCTTGAAAAAGGAGATACAGATCTAGAACTGACACTGGAGTTTGTAAGAACTGGCTTTGGAGCGATTCGACGCAAATCCACGGTAGTAGCCATCACAGCATCTTTCAGTGGTAACAAAGGTACTTGAGAGGAACGGCCTACTAGAAACATTTCAGCCTTCTTTCCCTGCTTTGCCGCTTTGCTGTCTAATTGTTTTATTAAATCAATATTGGACTGCAATCCAGATTTAGCCAGGCGTAGCTCAGCCTTGTCCAGTTTATCCTTATTTTCACCAGAAAGTCGGGGTCCAGCATTCCTTCTGCTGTTACCACCAGTTTCCACCACTTTACTGAGTTTAGCGAAGCACGGATCACAAACACGATACGGCTTATTTGGGTTTGGGGCCAAGGCAGCCCTTAGTGCTTTTCGAGAACTACAAGCATGGCAGTGCACAAGTCCACAATTGTAGCAATTATGTCTCTTCCTTGTGAAACCAAACGCCTGCCTACAAGCAGCACACTGAGACTGTTCAGCCCCAGATACCCATTTGTGGAGACATATAGCAGCTGTGTAATTTGAACCACATGCAATATATTTCACATGTCTATCCTTCAAAGCTTCAACTAGAGTTGGTGTTTTTCGGTCCTCTAAATCTCCATGGCCCAACCTTCCATTAGCTCCCTTGCCCCAGGTATAAACCTCATTTTTTGATGTCAGAGCTGCGACATGATAGGCACCACAGGCAATCTCTTCAACAACTTCCCCAGCAAGCTTATCTTCAACAGAGCATGGTTGCTTCCCATCAGCTTGAGGATTCCCAAGTTGACCATACACTGTACTACCCATTGTGAAAATATGTCCTGATGTGGTTAAACCAACAGTTATACTATGCCCACAGGCAATTTTGTGAAAGTTGTAATCAATAAGTGCTGGCACACATGTAGGCTTTAGTCGTGGTTCTTTGTCACCATGTCCAAGGCGATTTTTATCTCCATCACCCCAGGTGAATAACTTTCCAGATGAAACACTAGCACTAGATTGTGTTACTATGACCTCTACCACGGCAGCTGTATGCCAAACTCCACAGGCAACAGCAATTGTCCTCAAACCTGACAGAGAATCCACCTCTCTAGGATACGGAACGCTTTCCCGATCACCATGGCCTAGTACCCCAAATGTTCCATCACCAAATGTAAAGAGCTGGCCAGTTGACGTCACTAGTGCCGTATGCCAGGGCCCACAAGTTACCATTGCAACCTGCAGACCCTCTAGAGGACCTGAAATCCTCTTAGGTATCCAATGACTCACATCATTTCCATGACCAAGAAGACCAGCTTTATGTGTGCCATCTCCCCATGTGTAAAGCTCTCCAGCCATTGTGACAGCACAAGAGTGATACTCTCCACAGGCAACAAAGTCAACACAGCAAAATGACAATGATTCAACTAAACGAGGCTGGGTAACATCTTTTCCAATTCCATGGCCAAGCCGCCCGCCAGATTCTTCACCCCATGTGAAGATTTCTCCTTGCCTGGTCACTAAAGCAGCATGTCTGACCCCACATGCAATATGATGCACATCTAAAACCACATTCGACTCAAGTGGCCTAGGAACGAGGACATCTGCTTTTGTTGTCACAGAACTAGCATTTTTTTCAGGCCCAACCTTCACAAGATTATCGCAAATAACTTCACCCCAAATGTAGACATCCCCCAATGCATCACAATCATCAGGTGCAGAACCATGACTGGAGGTGCTAGGGGCACTGGAAATACTCACTCGAAAAGCATCTGAACTGGATCCTCTAACTTGCATATTTGTTTGATCCAAAGCTACATATGCACCGTCGAACTGAAAAGAATTGCTGGACCGATATTTTTTCGGGGATGTTATTGTACTAGAACCGAATGAAACCTCAGTGGAGCTGCTCTCCAGTGTAGTACCAACAGAACTATCACTTTGACTAACTGATATCAAGTCACTATTTTCCTGACATATTTAAGAAAGCAAAAAATCAATGAACTCCTCCTCAAGGATGTTTATAAACACTAATAAACACGTTGGCGTTAATAATACAGTTTTTGAGGTTTGGAGTCCCTTCACCAAGTTTTCTATTCCATCTATTCTTCACTATCTATTTGGACAAAGATCAAACACCTTCAATCGGAAATTCTCTCAAAACGTATGGTATATACTTCATGAAAATGAACAAACTATGGTTCTTAACTGAATAATATAATTCAAGATCTATTAAAACAATTGCCTTATTCATATTCTGCTGTCACTTTTACCATGTCAGGTTGAAAGTTATATTCAACAGCTTCAATAATCTTTTAATCATTTTACAAAATACTTTTAGGAGCAACACTTCCACAAATATTGCTACAAGTTGCAAATTGTGAATAATAAATATGTTTGTGCACGGGATATAACAGTCGTTAAACAAATATATGTACTCTTGGTTGGCCATGCAGATGGAGTCCGTGAGGGGCTCAATAAACTTTTATCCTTAAGAAAAGCAGAGAGCAGTATTTTTTTGACAATGAGTATCTACTAATGACTGAAACCATCTCAGCAACCATACTAACTGTGAGTATTTGTCTTGAATTAAAAGAGGGGAAAATACTTCAAGAGGAAAAATAAATTTAAATTTCGATGCTATACTACCTCCTAGCAAGCTGCTACTGATCATTACTAATTATACCATTAGAAACATCAAAATTCTAAGCAAAATAAACAAATTTCAGCCAGAAGAGAATACAAATATACTAGTTGATTAAGTAACCACTGATTCCTATCAGAAAATCGACTAGCCTCCATCCCACATCCCACAGAAAATAGTAACCAAAGACTTACACCAAAACCAAGACTTCCGTCACTCCATCCATCAATTTTTGATCGTCCGGCTTGTCCACTCGAAATCAGGGATTTTAGGCCAGTAATCCAAACCTCTGCCTCAACTTTATCTTTGCAAATCTGAAAACAAATAATTTCACTATCAGAAACTAAAACTGTTGTATCATCATTTACGAAAGAAAAATAACTTCACAACTAACCAGATCAAGAGATCTTTTCCCGTTGTTATACAAAAGTGAAAAAGAAAGATAATCTTTTTCAGGACGAAGAAACCTTTGAAAAACAGCCTGATGACACGAACGTTCAAAAGCTTAAGTTAGAAACAACAGAATATATATACCATAGATCAGAAAAGAAAAGAAAATTAAGAGCAAAATTCTTTTAGAATCTCACAGTTCTTTGTCCAGGAACAATTCGGGTCACTGTAGCTAACTTCAATTTTCTTTCACCACGGCTAGAAATCCAGATTAAAGAAGATTCATCCTGTAAAGGTACAACCTCAGAAATAAGTAGCATCCTCAGTTATTCATTTAGTCAAACGGTCAGCTTTACATAATTGGGCAATTTTCCAAAGCAAAAATTATGAGATAAAGGTCAGAATAAAGCAAGATACAATCTAACTAAAGTATTAAGTATACCAACGAGCTTGAGCATGCTTGCATTTCAGTTAAGTTATTGATAGAAGGAAAAGTGAAAATTAAGACAACTTCATGTTTATCACTCTTTGGGGTCAGCTGAAGGGACAAAAAGGAAGACGTTTGACAGGGAAAAAACACAAACAAAACTCATATTTGGAACTGATACAATAAAAAAACTCCATGACCAAAAAGGAAAAAAATAGATGATCAGCATGCAGAGGATCTTTAAATTAAAGTGTTTCATAGATGATCAATCAGATCATAAGCAGCTGATTAACATATTTGCCCCTGATACAAAATGTGAAGAATAAAAGCCTTGACTTGCAAAGACGAGAAAAAAGTAGCTCCATTTGAAAACCAAGGTCCGTTGATCAAACTTGTACAAGTTCACCAAAATGAAGGTAGAAAACATAGTTTATTCTTAACTCACACTAAATGAACACCACAGTTGCCTTATTTGATCACCGAATTATAAACCCTCTAACTTTCACAAGCTTGCAAATATAAAGGTAGAAAACAAACTTACAGAAGAAAGTCTAAATGGGTAAAATTTTGGCTTTCCTTTACGACCATATTTAAGCAACTGAGCACCCTTCTTCAAAGCAATCAGTGCCTGTGAAAATAGGGGAAAAATAGAGGGAGAAAAGTCATTACTGGGAAATAACACTGTAACTTAGATCTACTTTATTTAAATGGGGACTAACTAAAGCAAAGTCCTTTCCAGTCAATTCAAAGCCTTCTTGATGTAACTGGATGAAATTGTGTATAGAATTCAAAGACACAGCTAGAAGTAACTATGATACCTTACGAACCAAATATAAGAATTCCAGTTGACTGATACAGGAAATGTAATAAAATTTATTTAAAACATTTTAATGTACCAATGTGTTGATTTCTCCCAGCACAATCCCATGATATCATATCCTAAGGGGCACATACAAATAAAATATTCTGAAATGTTGGGAGCCAATATACAGCCCATGAACCAAAACCTTCTCCCCTATCCTCTTCTACTCATTTCTGCACTTAATATGATATTGTAGCAATAACTAATTTTCAGAAATTCAATATGACGGAATATGATTCGAATTTTAAACAGGAAAAATGGAAACCCCTCCTCTGATGCCCGACATTTCAAAAATTAACTTCCCTAGTAAAAAGGGCAAACCATCACTAATCAAGTTAATAGCAAAAGTTGCATGAAATTTCATTCAAATCTTTTTCCTTCCGCAAAATTAACAATGTACCAAGAGGACAGTACAGATTGCAATTGATTCTTTAAAAGATTAATCGAAATGGTTAAGGGAAGAAACAACAACAAAAACAAGTGAAAATAGATACTTTGCAAAGTCTTCACGACAACTAAAGGGGGAAAATTCTACAATTTGTCATCACCCCTAAATTTAAAGATGAATACGGTCCAAATTAATGAATAATCCCAAAAAATTTGGAGACTAAAACATAAAGATCACTACTTTATACTCTGAATTGCATTCAGCAGAACATACATTACACGAGAATCTATCATATTTCTGAAAGAAAACAACAAAAATTAATAAATGTTAAAAAGATTGAGACCTGCTCGAAATCACGGCCCGCATTCCCGTAACTAACAAGATCTGCCATTCCATGTGAGATTATCACCGCCAACACCGCACCACCACCTCAGCCACCGTGCCACCTCTCTACTCATCATCAACTTCTCCGGCCACCACGACAGCAAAAACACTAATCCCACCGTACAATACCATCCACAAAGCAATCCAAAAAAATCCACACCAACCTTCTAACCAAACCTTGAAAAAACCTCAACTGAACAAAATAATTCCCTGCCCTTTTTGCAGATCTGATTAACCTCACTTCTCCTCCCCGAATGAAGAAAAATCAAAAGTTTGATTAGAAAAAACCGCAGAATAGTCAATGGAGCTTATATATATTAAAATTTAATTTAATTATTTATTTTTGGTGTTTGTTGATGAGGATGGAGGAGTTGGGATAGACTAAGTAGAGACTGTAAGTTTAAACAGGATTTTGCGGCCGTGTCGGAGCAGAAGAAATCCGACGACGGCGGAGGAATAGAGAAAGAAACGGAAGTGGGAAATAATCCAATCTTTGTTTAAAAAATTAAATTAAATAAATTAAGAAAGTTATAAAATCAGGAGAATAATGGGAGAAGAGGTCTGAGTAATGTTTTTGTGAGATAGAAAGAAGAAAGAGAAGAGGAGAGAGAGGGGGTCAAAGATGAAGAAACGGAAAAAGGCAGGAAATTGACTGAGGGAAAATAAAAATAAAATTAAATTAAATTGAAAATTAAAAAGCTGTATTAGATTTGATGATGTTATAATACTAGTACCGTACGTATGGGGGACATTTCCAATGCTTTTTAACCTCTTGGTAAAAAAATAATAATAATAAATATAATTTATACTGAGTAAATTTAATCACAAGATTGTAATGCCATAATAATAAACAATAAAACTCTTGAATTATTTATTTTTTAGAGTGATACTATAAGAATTACGAAATATGTATCCGACGCGCTTAATAGTTGACGTATAATATGGATTATAATTTATTTCGTAATTATAGATCAAGTTTTTTAACACTTATGATACAAAATTTTTTCACATACGCATATCACACACACTGTGACTCAACATTCCTGGAGAACAATGCCCTAAATTCTTTCATGCCGATACCTTCAATTATTTATAAATGTTTATCCATCAATAAACCCCAAATTCTGCACTAGTATAGAACAGGACTCAAAAATTAAACTATAGTTGATCTTATTATAAATAAATAGATAACCCTGACAAATGTACATTTTCGTAGTCTTGTCATTTTGATTTAAATAGTGATTTAAATTTTAATTTAAATTTTCAACCTCATTTTGTAGTCTGGTCAAACTATCAAAGAATGATTCAATGACATTATTGGATTTTTTCAGCTATTCATTTTACCTGCTGGCTCATTTTACCTGCTGGCTTGGTTGAAAAATTGTGATTAAGAACTTTTGCAAAACCTAGTAATTTCCACAATCCGGTAAAAATTACTTTAATTTACCCTCAAGACTTTTAACAAGTAATTAATTCGAGGTAGGTAACTAAATACTACACCAACCTCCCCTTGAGGCCCATAAGTTGCTCCACATATTCTTTGAAACTACAATCATTTGGGGGAATTACACTTATCAATATTGAGACTTGAGAGTTTTTTTTTATAGTAAATTATGGAACGAATAATAATTCTTCATTTCATTCAGAATCGTGGAAAGTTAAAATGTCTCAAATTCTATCAAAAATTAAATTTAACAATGTTTACTATTCAATGTGATCCAAAATTTTAAGCCATGGAAAAATTCTTTAGGAAGATGAAATTTTCAAATATATTTTCAACATATGATGAAGTACTCTCTCCATTCTGTAATGATTATCCAATTTAAATTTTTTTTACTTTTAATTTAATTTGTACTAAAAGTGAAAATTAAAACTGAACAATAATTTTAAGGTAAATAGAGGCTTCTTAAATAATTTTGGGACACATAAAGTAGTTCATATAAAAAGTAGAATTCTTATATAAAACTAGATAATTAAAATAAACAACAACAATAGCAGAATAAAATTGATTAACTCATCTTAAGTTTAATTGTTGGTCGTTCTCTTCCTCTTTCAACTTGAGTCGACTAATCTATATCTATAATTTCCGATTTTGAATTTAATTAAATAATCCTCACGGCGTATATTTTCAAATTATTTTTATCATGATTCTTTTTCATTTATCGTCTCGTATCATAATCGAAAAAATTTATTTTAAAGTAATCATTCACAGTGCGATCAGAATTAATGCCCTTAATTAACTAACACAAGATTGATACGTTCACACAGTTAAGATTCAAACGTAGATTTTTTCCAATCTAACTTCAAAAATTGAATAAGCTGAATTTTTTTTTTTATTTTTCGAAGATTCAGATTAATTAGGGGATTTGCTGGAAAAGAGTGAGATTTATTGGTTCATTCAAGATGAACTCACACAGTATTAGAGGATTTTATTGAGACACGAGACATTTGGGATTTGGTAGTTGAACAAATGTTGTCTGGTTAATGTTGGAGCAGGTCCCACATAGATGAGGGCCCTCTGGAGTTGCATCAAGTAGTAATAAGATGACCAACACCAAATCCTAGCCGCCCAACACTGACATTCTTCATTAATTAGTACACACACTGAACTCGCGTTAATTTTGACCTTTTTTCAGATTTTGCAATATCTTAGTAGTACTCTTTTTTTCTATTCGTCTAAGAAAAAAAATTATTACTCCCTCCGTCCCATTATGCCCAAAAAATTTTGTCCCAAAATTATTGTCTAATTTGACTTTTTATGGATCAAGTTACACATTTGTCCTTAGTAAAAAACATTAGCCATAAAATCTTAGTGGTTAAACAATTACTTATGTAGGGGTATATCCGGTTGTTTAAGATAAAATATAATTAAGGTTGACCAAAAATAAAATATTTCATTTTAGTAAAAGTGGACAATAATTATGGGACTGAGAGAGTATAATATTTTAAATTTTTAAAAATGAATTATTTTTTGGAATAAAAAGATTTTGAATTTTACCCGTTCAATCACGGCATAAGTTTAGTTTTCACTTTTTGGTATTTACTCATACGTAATAAGTAAAAAGATAGTACTATGTGGTTATATAGCAGAAATATATAATAATCTTTCTGTCCAAGAATAAAATAAATCACATTGAATTTCAAACTCTGTATTAAAAACATTAAAAAAATACACTCTTACAACATCATGGTAAATTCATAAAACCAAATCATGCGTAGGAATAATACGAAACTACGTACATTGATTTTTTTGAGTGATTGAGTTGAGTGACTAGGACTACTGTTAAGGTGTATTATCTGTTCCACATCGCCACCGTGAAGAGAAGTGTGTCATGCCATTAGGGTAATTTTTAAATTATAAAAAAATTAGGGAGGTTAAGTGTAAATTGTTATTAGGTTAATTAGGTTAAGTACTCAATTACTGTATGGAGAAGTGATTATCAAGTGAAATGTTTTCTTCCTTCTGAGTTCAATTAATCCCTATCTTCATTATCCTCTGTTTCCTTCTTCTTCTTCTCCTTGCTTCCTCCGACCTCTAAAATCTGAATTCCGGCCGTCGATTCTTCACACTCCGGCGACCCTTCTTCTTTTGTTAATTTCATTCTTAGCTTGTGTCGTGATAATTGGTATCCAAAGCCTGACGGTTCTCGGAATTTATCGCTCTTGTCAATTTCTTAAATTTAAAAATTTCGGTTAATTTAAATCGTAAGAATGGATAAATACCCACTTCCTTTCACCGAAAATAATCCCACTCTTTGGCTGTTAGAATTTAATGATTTCTGCTCGTCCTTCGGTATTCCAGAGTCGGAAAAGTTTGACTCCGCGGAGTGCTTTATGCTTGATGTCGCTGAATTTTGGTTTGAGAGTTTCAAGAGTTTTATGGAAAGGTTCCATGGGAGGAATTCTCGAAGAGCTTAGTCCAAAGGTTTGGCACCGCTGAAGCCGAATCAGAGGCACGAGAATTAGTTGAAATCATGTTAACCGCTGAACCTAAGAACTGTAACTCTGAGGATGAAGGTAATTTTGTCGTTTATCATGTAAGCTTTGAATTCTTCCATCCCAATGATGATTCCACCGTGTTGTTGGTAGATGTGAATGATGAAATTTCGAGTTTGGAAGGTGTTGATTCTGTACAAACTGATGATACGGTGGGTCTGAATGAACATTTTGTTGAATTCAAAATTAATGAGTCAGTGGTTCTATTTGAATCAATGGGGAGTCCTTGGTCTACTTGTGTTTTGTCTGCAAGGAGAGAAACTGTTTCTATTGAGCAGAATAAAAAAGTGTTTGGGTCTAAAAACCTTGAAGGTTTATTGTTTGAAAGTGATGATTGTGCTGCTACTTCGTTTGATAAATATCATATTGCAATGGGAGATTTTGGATTGTTAATAACAGGTTTTAAAGGTGGGACTGGTTCTACAGTTAACATCAGTGTTGATAGGTTTATGGTTTTGAAAACTGAGAGTAATCTGATGAACTTGACTTATAATCACCACCAAGTTGAACTTGATGGTAACTGCAGAATTAGAGTTTTGAGATTGATGAAACTGCACAGATACTACAAAGTTTGATATGAGGATTTATAAACCATTGTCTGAATTGATTAGTGGTTTTAAAGGAG